TTTGTGAAATCTTCTTTTGTTCTACTATAAATTTTAAATTATTAATTGAGTTGAAATATCGGTAATAGAGTTATCGTCTAGAAATCCGATTATTATTTATTTTTTTTAAATCAAAATTTATTCAGTAAGTCCTTATTTTTGAGTTCACGTACACGAACTATACATTTCAAGCTCCCGAAAAAAAAAATCGTAATTATTTTCTTCAATTATGAAAGAAAGATAAAAAAATTGCGAAAAGAGCCTAAACCATGCCTCCCATCTGTCCTCTCTTCATTTACCAATCGGAGTATAAGTTCTAGTAGGGGTGGGGGACTTTTTTGGGGGCGGGGACGGGGTTAGGAGATAGCCTCTTTACTTTATTTGAATAGTTGAGGGGTTAAATAGCCTTGGGGTTTTCTATTGTAGTTGAAAATAGTTTTTATTTCATTTGTTTTCTTTAGAATGATTTAGGATGGAAGCCTTTCTTCGAATTTTCTTATTTTTTCAAAATTTTTTTTTTAAATTTTGGATACATAAAATTTTTACAATGTAAAGTAACAGAACCCATTTATAACAGTTCAACTAATTAATTAAATTAAATCATTTTATTGAAATAAATAAACGTTTTAAAAATTATTCGCAATTTTTTTTGTTTATTATGCTAAAAAATAATCACTTATTAAAACATTTTGGATTTTAGGATATATGTATATGCATATGTATGTATGTATATGTATACATTCTCTTAGTGAAATAATCCCTTTATAATGAACCCGGGATAAACAGTGAAGAGTCATTAATTTAAAATGAAACATATGACATTTCAATCTATGTCATACGTTTAAAAGTATATAATTATAACCATTATTTAAAAATGGAGTAATACACTTTTAAAGCAGTGTTTAAATTAAGTTATTTCACTAAAATGAAAAAGAAAAAAAAATATAATCTTTTCTTCTGCCCACACGATTATATCCGCAAAACAGAGTGCTTTCTGATATTGTATCAATAAAGCCAAAGCAAAATATATTAATACAATAGTGTGAGGAGCACTCAAAAAAATTTTT